AAGACGATCGCAACCAGTGGAGTTCCATCTGCGAGGTAATTAACATTCGGGTTGAGACTGCAATGCTGCAACGCGTAGCGCGTCACCCGACCTCAGTGCACTCTAGTGAACCTCGAATTCTTCGAGTAACACTAAACTCAGCAGATGAGACAGAGGCTGTCCTGCTCTTAGCAGTTCGTCTTCGCAACTCACCGAGCGGAGTACGCATATTGCCTGATCTACCTTGGAAAGATCGCCCAAAAGAAGCAGTTGACCAACGCGGCATTGCTAATAGAGATAGCAACAAAACAATCTTTGTTCATGGTGTTGCTGAGCTTGTAGTGCAACAGAAAACATGCTCTTTCAGTATCCTGTAACATTGGATTTTATGGTTGTTTTAACCTTCGAAACATCCACTTGTTTTACTGACTGCACGTCCGTTGTCACAAACCGTTTTGGTGAGTACCTCGCTGCACGTTTCTCGCTCTGTCTGATTCGCTTCCTATCCTTGTAGTCTATAGAATATACGTTGGGTTCAGTTGCCTCCGAATTCTATACTGTCGTATTTGACACGTATTACGTGTCATTGCTTACCGACTAGTATCCCGGGCTCCGCCCAACAAGCTTCTGCATTCTTCTGATCACGATGCACAAAAGCATGACCAAGAGCAGTGGTGTTGCATCTGCGAAGCACTTTCTCTGGATAAGATTATTGCCAAATCCCTGACAAGTGTTCCGTCATCACCTAACTACAAGGGCTGTGGTCCAAAGCTAGTGAAAGAAATATTACACTCCGAGGGAATGAAGCAGGTTCCGTTGGATAGCTGGTTAAAGTTTCGATCTAGGTTGCCAACAGAGATCCGGCTAAAGGCAGCAGACAAACGGCCAAAAGTCGGAAGCAATTCGATGGAACTTGCAAACACTTCAAATTCTTTATCTGCACAGTCCTGCAAAGGGACCGACACAACAGTGCCACGGCGCACAACAAGACAGAGCACAGTACGAGTGAAACGTCTATTCAGGAACGCGCAATAATGACATGCAACCTGTCGGAAATTCATGAACTACAAAACGATTAATGGCCGGCCACCAAATGGCCGGCTTAAAAACTAACACTGTCCCACGCAAGCAAAGAAATTTTATCTAGCATTCGTACAGAGCCGTGTAGTAAACAAGAAGTACAACCACATTCTTAACACTGGCGATTTCAACATCCACCCTCCGGAAACCCAAGCCAATCCTGAAGTACTCTTCAAAGTGGATCTGCAAGAGTTTCTCTCCGGTTCTCTGCTATATGGTCACACCAATACTCTCAACAAAATTCACAGGGACAGACCGTCTATACTGGACCGGATGGTCATCAAAATGAACTGATGCACGAAAAGGTGATCGTCGACAGCCCTATGAGCCGCAGCGATCATGTAGTCTTACTCTTAGAATAAGCTTATTATGTGGAATATCCCATGGGAATTGCCGACGCAACAAGAATGATCATACACTACAAAAAATTAGCCCGACTTGGTGAGACAACAAACGGGTGTTTCATGACAGACAGCACCGACTTGAGTATGGTGACATTTAGTCATCCGTTTTAAAACTCGGATTGCCGAACCAACCGAAGCTAAGACTATTCACTCGAGAAATGTCTCATTCGTACGAATCGGCACAAATAGGTGTATAGAGATGTGGATCTCCGTCTAGAATAATCATAATACCTTTCCAAACGCGGCAAATTAAATAGTCTATGTGGCTCAAGGTTGCCACTATGCTAAACTTGTCCGAGCGGAGAAAATCGCATACCAGCAGAAGTTAGTAGTGTGTATGGTCTCAAGTCACAAATTGCTGTATCAAAATGCAAACGGCCTACTAAAGGTGAACCGAAGCATTCCTCCAGCGCAAACACCGGATGGATTGACACAGACTACGAAGAATGTGGCGAATACCCTGCGACTGCAACATGCTCCAACATTTCGGTGCGTTCTGTGGCCACCTAACGCTGTGGCATGTGCTGCCTCATCCCCAAACCTCCCTCAACGCAGCGATTGGAGACAGCAACAGCGAATCCCTCATTTCCCGTTTATGGTAAATACTGTCATGCAAATATCTGTTGAGTATGCGTACGCACAGCTATCAGGGCGTTGCAAAAGTTCATCCGAAATCACTTGCGGCCGTGGGAGAGAGATAAGCGGAGATTTCGGTTCGATTATTCCAATGTTCTTTTAACGAAATGTACTTACCAGACATGTGGAAATGCGAAACTTTTACTCCAATTTACAAAGGAGATAGTCGTTCCGATCCAGTCAAACACCTTCCTGCAACTCATCTACCGGTGAAGTCTAAGGTCATGAAGCCATTCTTTCATGTGCGCTAATCACATACTTCAAAGCATTTACCTACATTGCACTGCATGGTTCCACGAAATCGAGCGTGCGCTGCAAATCCACTGTTGACATCATCCAGCTGCCTGAAGCAGTAGACATTGGTGTAGAGTTTAGTGTAGGTTTTCTCGACTTACTCAACACACTTGACTGGTTATGCCATGGCATCTCCCTCTGCCAACTCCATGCATTTGGCATTGATGATCGCCTCCTAAGGTTGATCAGAAGCTTTATCCTCCACCGGCGCTTCTAGATAAGAATGCGAGAATCTGTATCACATCCTATCCAAGTCGAGTGCAGAGTGCCACAGAGATCGGCACTGGGGCCACGGTTGTTCTCTATCCATATACATAATATAACGTGCCTCATACGCTCGTACTGTTTACTCTGTATCGAGATCATCAAGGTTTATAGAGCGATCAATACACTCGATGATCTTTCAATACTTCAAACCGATGTGGATAGGGTTTATGCATGGTCAACCCAGCATCTACCTCTGTTTATGGTTGAAAAGTGTAGGGTAATGTACTGACGGCATGATCTAGGGTGCTGCTATACACTTGGCAACGAGGAGCTTTAGGAATCCTCCAGCAAAATGATCTGGTCACTTCGATCCGGGGCCAGATCAAGCTGCATGAATATCAAGAATCGGGATCCCAAACCTGCGCTTCCTGCGAAGTGCGTTCAGACGCATAGAGCCGTCAGACCTTTTGCAGATTCCTGACGCATACACATGATCACGCGTGGAATAGGCAATACAGTTCTGACAGTCATGACTGAGGCGAGATCTCACTGCTTTGGGGATATCTCAATGGCCGATGACCAAGGTGTTCAAAGGCTTGTATTAGTCGCCATATAAACGAAGGCCGCAAGTGTTTAAAGTCTTCAGCGAACAATACCGGAGATTGCGCAGGGACATTATTTTGAGTTCGTAGCGTTTGATGAACTCCGATTACGCATGCCAACATCAGCTGGAACTCAGCCATAACAGTGATCTGAGAGGCCTCTATCTCCAACTAGCAGAACTGTACATTCGTTTTGAATGCCATCGGAAATTATCTTTCTTATATATTTGATAGGAATGGAATACCCTCCCATGCTGACAGACTTCGAAGGTCGAATTGACCGTGCATTCGTTTCCCTGCACCGGATCACCTGACTTATTGCTCGTTGAAAAATACGAGTATCTGCTGATCAGGTCCCAGGATACGTTCCCCTTGTTCACCTTCTGCACCTGTTCACTGGGTGACACGGTTTTTGCAAATGTCATATTTGTCCTCTTGTTTTATGTTCTTATTTTGGATTTACCGTTTCTAATACATTTATCGCGGTTCGTCCACCGGTGCGTTTTTTGACTCCTTTTCCATATTTTTCAATATTCACTATGACCATCTTACGGTAGTATTTGTTCATTAGCTTTATTACCCAGATTAAACTATTGTTCTTTTGTCTCAGTAAAGGACCAGATTGGCAAGTGCTTTGTACAAGAACTGATAGTTTATGATATCGAGTGGCCAATTCTTATGGATGACATGCGCCGACTTGGGGCATTTGACAATTAATGCTTGAGGAGAATTACTCAATGAACAATGAACAATGATTTATCACGGGATAAAAGCAAGTGCTTGACACATCCCGTAGAATGGTTGAGGTGAGTATGATGAAA